TCAGAGCCTAATTATACCATTACATACGTTTTATCATTTCTCATTTTTCACTACACCAAAGACACCACATCCCACAAGTAAACCATGATAAGTGTCCCCTTAAAGCGTTATTTAAGAAGATCCCACAACAGCCCACCAACATAAAATTATTCATGTTTGACAGGAAATCAACTTGGGTTTCAGAGTTTGTGCTTGGTGTCATGCAGCTTTTAGATGCCCCTTACAGCAGATTTTAGATGCCCTAATAACCAAATAAAATGTCTACCTCACTATGGTAGCAGCCGTTCAAAATGGCCCTTCCCAGTCAAACGCCAGCCAAATGGCAGCCCACTTCCCTCCAACTCCCAGCGAAATCCCTTCCGACTTCCAGCCAGTGGAGTGACCCCCTCTTGCATATTTTTTTACTCTGACTCCACCCTTTCACTGAATTACAAAGTCTGACCAGGAGACTATGCTTCTCTTTAGATCTGAATGTCCACAAATCATTAAAGAAAGAATATTTTATGACAAATAATGTTTAAAAAGGAATTGTAGGGGACCAGCCAAGGGCCAATCAAGGAAAGTGGGTAAATTTTGAATGGCTAATACTTTAGCATGCAGTCTGCCAAGCTTGTGCTATTGAGGTCATATTGGAGTCAGGTATGATGAAGCAGAGACGCGTATAGAAGTTTTAGGACCCTCAAGGGCTTTACTGTCTATTCCAGGGGTCGGCAACACAAAATGTTCAAAGAGCCATATTAAACCAAAAAAATTATAAACCTTACAGGCTTATATATAAGCCTCCTAAGGGCTCTGCGTGTATATTTGCCCACTATCACAATGACTAAGTAGGTTTAAATACATAATAAGCATTCATGATTAAATGTTTATTTTCCATGCAGCACATTCTGGAGAAAAATACACACCATGTGACTATCTGCTGTATGATATTTGTTACTTTAAGTTTAACTTCCATTACAGTATTAATGTATTATGATTTCTTGAATCAATGGAATTATCCATCTATCCATCCATTTTCTGTCACGCTTATCCCAAGTGGGGTTGCATGGGGTGCTGGTGCCTAACTCCAGCTGTCTACGGGCAAGAGGTGGGGTACACCCTGGACAGGTCGCCAGTCCATCGCAAGGCAACAAACAGGACAAACAGGACAAACAACCATTCACACATACTGTAATGAGAATTTAGAGAAGCCAATTAACCAAACAGTCATGTTTTTGGACTGTGGGAGAAAGCTGGAGTAACCAGAGGGAACCCACGCATGCTCAGGGAGAACATGCAACTCAAACATGCAGAAAGACCCCTGGCTGGGAATCAAACCCAGAACCTACTGAGCAGCCCTTGATGGAATTATAGAAATACAATAAATTATTATTTTGAAAAAAAAAAATTGAAATATGAATAGGACTCCTGTAGTTTTAAACCTCCTTGTAGAAATAAATTGCAGTCCTCTTCAAACCACAGTAACAACAAAATCCTCTTCCTTATTGGGACAACAATGCAATAAAACTCAAAGTGCAATAAAACTTTCAAAACAGCAGCCTTTTGATAAGGTAAGTAGGCTATGTAAACAAACATAATTGCGACATAATTTAATTACAGAGCACCCACTGGTTTGGCACCATCCCCTGCTGAAAGGTGTTGCAGGCTATGACGTGAATCGTATTTGATAGAAAGGTTTACATTTATTGTTTAAATTTATTTATGGAATTATTCAATTTTTTACAGCAATAGAAAACACAAAGAACATTTGTTTGTCCTCCCACACATTATATTAAAAGAAAGGAAGAAACAAAGAAATCCATCTTTCTTCATTTTGCTTGCTTGAAAAAGCTCCAGCGAGCTTCAAGGGGGGCCCTAGAGCCACAGGTTGCTTTCCTCTGGTATAATCCATAAGTCTCTACATGTAATCCCGAAGAGCTACCGTTCTGGATATGTAAGATGAAACCTTTTTACACCACAGCTGACTCTAATTAAGTACCTCTTCAAAAGTCCTCAAGTTTGGCGAAGGCCTGGTAATTACACAATTCATGTAGTTTTTCAGTGGAAAAGTAATCTAATTAATTACCTTTCACGACTGTTACGTTACTTGAAATAAGATGCAGCAAATCACCACAACTATCAACAATCTATCTATCTATCTATCTATCTATCTATCTATCTATCTATCTATCTATCTATCTATCTATCTATCTATCTATCTATCTATCTATCTATCTATCTATCTATCTATCTATCTATCTATCTATCTATCCGTCTGTTCATCCATCCATCTAAACAGACAGATGTTTGATCAGCAACAGATGAAGGTTTTTTGCTGTGCATATTCCAGTAATTTCCACCAGATGCCACTATTCACCAAGCCAGAACCGGGTAACCTTGAGAGACGCCCCCAACAAACATTTGGCAATCTTGGCAGCAGCTGCCTACATATGCAGCAGCTGCCTATAGCAGCTGTAAGATTAATCTGTAACACAGAGTAGGATATTTTACAGGACACCAAGGCATCGACTGATTTATTTAAAACAAATAATCATTCACGCAGCACAAGCAGTTACTGGATTAAAGGTAAGATTAGTTTAGTTTAGAGAAAATAAATAGTTAAAAAATTTAGCTGAGGGATTGAATGACAGAATTGTGTCTTGTGTTAAAGTGAAAAGTGTGTTTCTCAAAATGATAGTGTATGTGACTGAGTGAGCAAAGTGAGAAAGGGACACAGAGGGATAGCCATTGCCATAGATAAACTGCTGCATTATTTAGTTATCTATAGCTTTCCTTTATCATGATGATCTTCATCAGGCTAACCAAAGGAGGAACAGGGCCAGGACAAGTACTTGACAGCAGAGTTCTTTTGTATCATTTCAAGTATCAAAATCCTTTTAGGGGTGACAGTTTTGAGGATAACTTGGTAATGTATTTATGTTGACGGCACAACTCTGAAACAACACAGCGCGACGGCAGATGCCAAGGTACAGGGTATATATATTTTGCCAGGAAACAGTATTATACCCCAGTTTCCTGCCATCCTGTCGTATTAGCGGTCATCCATATTATTGTATTACAAAATTATACAAAAAAACATTAACTTGCGTCCTTAAACGGAACTGTTGCTAGAGTCATAATCTGATCACCTATTTGTAGTTTGCAATTGGTTAACAAATGATCATTTTAGATTTCTGGTGCACCTATCTTAAAATATAATGGATACTCGAGGTTGAGTGGGGTTGTAGGACGGTTCGCAGGTTAATTTGTAAAATTTCCTTTATTTTCATATACAAAACTTGATTGGTATGGCTTTGACCAAATAAGGTATTATTTGGCAGTAGGAGCTTGTCTTGACACCCCTGTTTTCAAGTTAACTATGTTGCTCACAACAGGGAGGAGAAGTAAATTGTTCTTACAATTTCACTGTCAAGAAGGGATGAGTTTTTTTTCAACAAACGCATTTATTATGCAAAACAAGAATGTAACAAATACAGGTAAAGCAGGTGACACACAGTATTAAGACATTTCACAGTCAGATAAAAGTTTATTTACATAATAATCTTATAAAAAAAACCAAAAGCAAACAAATGGTCACACCATTTAGAATGGAAATATGAAAAATAACCACATCTCCCTTATGGGATAACCTGTTAATCATAATTAAGGTATAGAGGTTAAAGTAAAGCTGGATTTATGCTACTTAAGTATAACAATTAGTATGTTCGATTATTTAAGAGACAACTCATGCTTTAATGATTTAAAAAAATAAAAGGTAAAATATTAGCTTTTTTCTATGCTAAGATATTGCACATTTACAAACCAGCTCAAGTCTAGTCTTCCTTAATACTTTAAAAGAATAAACATTTACACTTACGTTTTACCAATTTATCGAATTTATCAATTTTTCAAAACATGTCAGACATAAAATCAACTATCCTGTCAGATCGGTTGTTATTAGTAATATCATTATCTTTGGTTTAACTCTTGACCTTCTGCTTCAAAAGTCTCCTATTATCCCAAGCTTTAATCAGAGACCTGTGCTAGTTGGATCTACTGTTTCACCTCCACATATCAAATTGTATCTAAATCTTTACAAGTTAAGGCAAAAGTCAGTAAACAAGCAGGTATAAAAACAATAACAAAAAGATTGATGGGAAATAACAAGCTGCAGTTTTTACCTAGTTTGGCCCAGCAAAAAACCATATGTCATATTTAAAGGGTGGAGCATTTTCCTAATCAAACATTCCTAATTAACATTACTGATTAATGCAAAAATATTGCTTCCATTCCACCCAGCTCTTGGTATTTATGCATTCTTATAACATAAACAGCAATCATAAGAATGATGGTTCATTTTTCCCAACTGATAATGTCAGTTTTAGTATTTCCGCTTAGGTCTGTATCTTTAATAATATTTAAATTTTAAGGCAGTGACAGTATTATGGAAGATTAATTTGCTATCAGAAAAGCTACTGAAATGAGTTTGAATAAGTGAAACAAAACTATCTTGCAAATAAGATATTTTTTTATATGATGCACATAGAAAAAAAAAAAAAAACTCAATGTTGATTAGGCCAAGACAGATGTTTGAAAAGGTAAAACAAAGCAACCATTTGGATTCAGAGACACCTCCATCTTACTGGGGCGATGGAGGTGTCAGATGCACTAGATGCGGCACCAGCTTTCAGTGTCCTTGGCAAGAAACTTCTCCCGCATTGCCTACTTTGGATGGTCAATGAACGGTAGCCTCGCTTCTGCCAGTGAGCCCAAGGACAGCTGTGGCTACAATGTAGTTTGCCAGCATTAGTTTTTGAGTGTGTGCGTGAATGACTGAATGTAGTGTAAAGTACTTAGGTTAAGTCTCCTCACTTGTAAAAGCACTATATAAGTACAGGCCATTTATCATTTACATTTTACTGTAGACAGTATCGAACAGTGACATATTGCTTGAATATATGGAAGAACAACACGAAGGAAAGAGGTACCTTTGAAAATTGTTTAAAATGAGGGTTCTCCTGTGGGAGATCGCCAAGGAAATAATTTAAGCATTTATATCAACAGTTGGGCCCCAATAAACAGTACGCTACCCTGACTGTTAAAGAGATTAAACTCAAAGAGAGTTGACCTGAATCATAATAAAATCATACTAAAATGTTATGTGTTCAGCATTTTTAGGACTCTATTATTCTTACTGCTGCTCCTCACATCATCCTGATCTTTAAATGTTTGTTTTCTCCTTGATCCATTCTCTGAACTTGATAACACGGGAGTAGATTCCAGGCTTGTCCCGTTGAGCGCAGCCCTCACCCCAGCTAACAATGCCAGCCTGAAACCACTTCCCGCTTTCCTCAAGGCATGCCAGGGGGCCTCCAGAGTCTCCCTGCAGAGTGTCATATGTGAACAAGTAATAGATAATTAGATTGGGTTTGGATGTGAGGGCACAGCAAACACAAAGGTGTCAAAATCTCCCCCCTTTCCTTCTTTTCTGATGTTATACAGTCCCACCTGGCATGCGTCGACTCCTCCTTCAAGGAATCCACTGCAGAACATCCTGGATGTAACCCGGCCCCCCATGAACTTATTACATACTTCATCATTAATGAGTTTCACTGATGCCTTCTGAAGCATAATCGCCTTGCGCCCTTTAAAGTGGAAAGAGAAGGATCAGCATGTTATCATGTAACCATCTTACCTTCATAAGAAAGGTTTAGGAGACACAGTGAGAGTCCATGCTTATCTTAGAGATAGGGAAGGTGACTTAAAGAGAGTCATAACTAAAATATAACGTAAATATCTTGAAAATAGCCTGTACTATTTGACTCTATTCAACTAATATATCGTTTAATGATCAGACTGACACCTCAGTAGTGCAGCGTCAATGCACATATAAGCCTGTGGCCTATTTACACGGAATATACTTCGGGTTAAAAGGTTCAGAGCTGTCCGGCGGATATGGTGTCATGTTAGATGGGTCCAACCTAGAAAACAACTGAAGATTTCCATTTAAGATTTTTGGGATATTTTTGAGTATACAGGTGCTGGTCATAAAATTAGAATATCATGAAAAAGTAGATTGATTTCAGTAATTCCATTTAAAAAGTGAAACTTGTATATTATATTCATACATTACATACAAACTCATATATTTCAGATGTTAATTTTGTTTAATTTTGATGATTACAAATGACAACAAATGAAAATCTCAAATTCATCATATCAGAAAATTAGAATATTACTGAAGACCAATAAAAACAAAGGATTTATAGAAATGTTGGCCAACTGAAAAGTATGAACATTTAAAGTATGAGCATGTACAGCACTCAGTATTTAGTTGGGCCTCCTTTGGCCTGTATTACTGCAGCAATGCGGCGTGGCATGGAGTCGATCAGTCTGTGGCACTGCTCAGGTGTTATGATAGCCCAGGTTGCTCTAATAGTGGCTTTTAGCTCTTCTGAATTGTTGGGTCTGGTGTATTGCATCTTCTTCTTCACAATACCCCATAGATTTTCTATGGGGTTAAGGTCAGGAGAGTTTGCTGGCCAATTAAGAACAGGGATACCATGGTCCTTCAACCAGGTACTGGTAGCTTTGGCACTGTGTGCAGGTGCCAAGTCCTGTTGGAAAATGAAATCTGCATCTCCAAAAAGTTGGTCAGCTGCAGGAAGCATGAAGTGCTCTAAAACTTCCTGGTATGTGGCTGCGTTGACCCTGGACCTCAGAAAACACAATGGACCAACACCAGCAGATGACATGGCACCCCAAACCATCACTGACTGTGGAAACTTTACACTGGACTTCAAGCAACGTGGATGAAGTGCCTCTCTTCTTTTCCTCCAGACTCTGGGACCTTGATTTCCAAAGGAAATGCAAAATTTACTTTCATCAGAGAACATGACTTTGGACCACTCACCAGCAGTCCAGTCCTGTTTCTCTTTAGCCCAGGCAAGACGCTTCTGACGCTGTCTGTGGTTCAAGAGTGGCTTGACACAAGGAATGCGACAGCAGAAACCCATGTCTTTCATACGTCTGTGTGTGGTGGTTCTTGAAGCACTCACTCCAGCTGCAGTCCACTCTTTGTGAATCTCCCCCACATTTTTGAATGGGTTTTGTTTCACAATCCTCTCCAGGGTGCGGTTATCTCTCTTGCTTGTACACTTTTTTCGACCACATCTTTTCCTTCCCTTCGCCTCTCTATTAATGTGCTTGGACACTGAGCTCTGTGAACAGCCAGCCTCTTTAGCGATGACCTTTTGTGTCTTGCCCTCCTTGTGCAAGGTGTCGATGGTCGTCTTTTGGACAACTGTCAAGTCAGCAGTCTTCCCCATGATTGTGTAGCCTATAGAACTAGACTGAAAGACCATTTAAAGGCTTTTGCAGGTGGTTTGAGTTAATTAGCTGATTAGAGTGTGGCACCAGGGGCCATCAATTTTGAACCTTTTCACAATATTCTAATTTTCTGATATGATGAATTTGAGATTTTCATTTGTTGTCATTTGTAATCATCAAAATTAAACAAAATAAACATCTGAAATATATGAGTTTGTATGTAATGTATGAATATAATATACAAGTTTCACTTTTTAAATGGAATTACTGAAATCAATCTACTTTTTCATGATATTCTAATTTTATGACCAGCACCTGTATAGACACTACTCAAAAAAATTAAAGGAACACTTTGTAATCAGAGTATAGCATCAAGTTAATTAAACATCTGGGATATTGATTTGAATGGTTTTACAGGTTGAGGCCACTGACATTTTTTCCCCTCCTCATCTTTTCTGACTCTTTTTCACCAGTTTTGCATTTCGCTAGGGTCACTGTCACCACTGTTAGCATGAGGCGCTACCTGGACCCTACAGAGGTTGCACAGGCAGTCATATTCCTCCAGGATGGCATATCAATACGTGCCATTGCCAGAAGGTTTGCTGTGTCTCCCAGCACAATCTCAAGAGCATGGAGGAGATTCCAGGAGACAGGCAGTTACGCCAGCAGAGCTGGACAGGGCCGTAGAAGGTCTACAACCCATCAGCAGGACCGGTATCTGCTCCTTTGTGCAAGGAGGAGTAGGAGGAGCACTGCCAGAGCCCTACAAAATGACCTCCAGCAGGCCACTGGTCTGAATGTCTCTGACCAAACAATCAGAAACAGACTTCACGAGGGTGGCCTGAGGGCCCGACGTCCTCTAGCGGGCCCTGTGCTCATTGCCCGGCACAGTGGAGCTCAATTGGCATTTGCCACAGAACACCAGAATTGGCAAGTCGCCACTGGCGCCCTGTCCTTTTCACAGATGAGAGCAAGTTCACCCTGAGCTCATGTGACAGACATTAAAGGGTCTGGAGAAGCTGTGGAGAACATTATGTTGACTGTAAAATCATTCAACATGACCGGTTTGGTGGTGGGTCACTGATGGTCTGGGGAGGCATATCCATGGAGGGACGCACAGACCTATACAGGCTAGACCGCGGCACCCTGACTGTCATTAGGTATTGGGATGAAATCCTTGAACCCATTGTTCCTGCCTGATCTGGATTCTGTTTTGTCTGTTCCTGCCTGATCTGTATCCCTGACCAGGATCGGCATCCTGCTAATCCCCAGGAGCTGCAGCACTGGGGACGTCAGCTATCAGCCCATCTGCTGGATCGCACCCCCTTCAAGGGTGATGGACTGAACTGCAAAACCAGGTAAGTGACTCACTGAGATCATCATCTTCAGTCAGATGACCATGATCACTCACCTGTGTTTCTCCCACCAGAGTGTCTGTGATTGGGCGGTATATATATATATATATATATATATATATATATATATATATATATATATATATATATATATATATATATATATATATATATATATATATATATATATATATATATATATATATATATATATATATATATATAGTGGCATCTGGCTGTTTTTTTCTATATATATATATATACAGTATATATATATATATATATATATATATATATATATATATATATATATATATATATATATATATTTATTTATTTATTTATTTATCTATTTATTTTTTAAGAACACACACTGTGAGAACAAACAGATGAGTGCTGCAGGTCTGGGTTTTGGCAACAGTATCATTAGAAAACTTTGCAATGCCTCTTTAAGTGAATGGCGCAGATCAGACAAGATCACTGAAAAGTGACCTGATAAAGAAGCAGTTAAAATAAGCCAAATAAAGAAAACAGCAAAAAGGAATAATATGACAAATTAGTGACTCGAAGATCACAAAGAAGCCAAAACATTACTTCTGCAATAATAATTGTAGAACAAATGTTAACTATAAATCAGAGAGTAAAAACCCAATACCTCCTTCCCGTGTAACTCCCCAGCCTGTGATCGAGCACGTCATTCCTGGAGGAAAGACATGAGAGGATGCAGGGAGGCAGATTGGTTGGACGGTGTTGCTGAACTCTAGAGGCTCACTAAGCTTTAGCAGAGCAATGTCGTAGTCAGAGGTCACTTGATCATAAGATGGGTGGAGGATGATTCTCTTCACTTTACGCATCTGAGCTTTCTCTGGCTCATACTGAGACTGCAATCCACTGTACGTAATCCAATTGGCTTGAAGACCATGTCTGTTGAAACATTACAAACATTAGGTAAATAATTTACTTATATTTAATCCCTGTTTTTTTTTTGTTTTTTTTTTCAGGATTGTTCACAACTTTATCCTTCAACTTTCTGCGGTAGTCCTTTTTTGTAGTTGTTGTGGCTCAAAGCAGTATTTTAAACTGGACCTGCTGTCCTTTTTAGGAACATGTCCAAGGAAGGAGACTCCGAGTGTTAGGTTCTCAGAACTGGGTGAAGTTGCAGTTTACCTCTCACAGGGTGGCAGGCTAATTGATTTACGGTAGCTTCCATTACCTCAGTCAGTGGTGACCTTTAAGAAGGAGCAGGCTCCCTCAGGCAGATGGTTATTGTATCCAGAGCACTTCAGGATCCACTCTGGCTAAGACTTTCATTGTATCTATCCCCTGTAGGCTTATGTCCTGCTCCTTCCACAGCTAACCTACACAGCACACAAGTATCTGTACTTTCTATTCCTTACATTTTTAAAACAAACGTCACTCGTTACTCTTGGCTTCAGTTTAATGTTTATAAATATTTATTTCACGTCATGTGCGCCATCTAATGCAGATCATTGTCTCCATCCACATCTAGTGAAAACTAGTGTAATTGGATGAGTTGTATAACACAAACACTCATTGGTTAGCTAAAGGAAATCATCAGAAGCAAGCAGGTGTTCTTGAAACTGCAAACGCGAATAGTCTATGCCATGCTACAATGAACGGATTCAGAAAAAGATTTTGAAATGTCTGAAAGGTCGGACACAGGCGAGAACGTATCGGGAGATGGAGACCAACAAGACCTCCCTCTTCCTTGGCCCTATCTCAAAGAACATTTTGAAATAGTTGAAAAATTTAGCTTTCAATTCATATAGTGGCATCTGGCTGTTTTTTTCTAAAGGTTACTTTATACTTTTAGTTTTTGGAGCACATACTGTTTCACTTTTACTTAAGTAAAGAGGTCAAGTTGATACTTTTACCAGAGTGTTTTTAAACTGCATTAACTATACTTCTTCTTAAGTAACAAATTTGTGTACTTTTGACACCACTGTTTCTTGGGTGAGTATTTGGGTGCTATTTTTACTTCTTTTTTAAATAGAACTTTTTTCACATTGTCTGGTTTAAGACGGTTTCTTTGTTGACTACTTTAGGCAATTTAAACAGTAAATTTATCAGGTTGTGTGGACGTTTTGAAGACCCAAATGCAGAGAGGTGTAAGCACTGATGAGTTTGGATGATTTATTAAAGTCCAAGGGGAACAGAGGCAAAAATACTGAAAACCAAACAAAAACCAATAACGTGAGGGGAAATATGTTAGAGAAGCTAGAGACTAGAAGGCAACAAAATAAACGTCTACAACACACAAGATACCAACACTGAATGAAGGCTCTGGTGCTCTTTTAAGCCGAGCACTATGATTATAAAGATTATTTTCACCTGTGTAGGCTACCCAAGTTCTCCACAAAGATCTTCTACAATAGAGATGCACAACTCTCACTAACTCACACACAGAAACCCTGACAAAATTATTAAGACAATTTAATTGAGATAGATAAATAGGGTCAAATAATATTAGGGAATAAATGTCGTACTCATGCTGGTGTCTTTAGTATGGAAGAAAAAACAAAAAGATAAAAAATTGTGATGTACCATCACAATCATCATCTGCTTCCAACAAGCTAAAATCTCTCCCTCCGGGATCATGGACTTCTCCTAACCATAAGCTGCCTTAAACTACTTAATGCAACATGCCATCATCCATACTCCTCCACTTAGCAATTTGTCTTGCCTTCCCGAACCCCCGCAGTTGTTTCCATATTCTGCTCTCCTTTTGCATATCCAAGAAAATAAACTGTTTATATCTGCTTCTCTCTGTGCTTGTTCCTACCTAAAGAGTCCTTTTCTTAAGCAAAAAGTTGGATGACAGAACATGCATTTCATACAATCCTTGTTAAATTAATATAACTTCAACAAAAACACAATGTTAAAAGATGCTTTAAAATACCAGATTATTTCCAAATCTTAGTGTTTAACACTTTACAATAGTTTTATCTTAGTAAACTCAACCATTTTGATATTGTAAAAACATTTCTGGAAAACAACCAGCTGTTAAATGGTTGTATCATGACTGTGCTTGCACTAATATGGTTATAGTTATGGTTAGTACGGTATCAACAGCCTGAATTGATTTGTTTTATTGATCAGAATTAAACAAAAAAAATATTTGAGTATAATGCAAAGAAAAAGTCTTAAAAGTCATATTAGTTGTTTGTTCTGTGCGTGTCTGTAAGTGCAAGAGCCTGTTACTCACTCATGGGAAAATTTGAAACAGTGAGCTGCAGACAAAAGCCACCTATCCGAGATGATTGAGGCGCCGCAAGCATGGCCAGATGTCCTGAAGTGAAGGCTGACCTGCCAGGGCCACTCTCCACTGTCTGCGTTCTGCCCTCCTATGATGCGTGTCATCTTGTAAGGCCTGATGCCGCAGTCTTAAATTCAACAGAGATTTACTTTAAACTTATTTAATGGTCAGAATGCCAGTCATTGCTGTTAATGATATAGATTATATGTAAATCCTAATAAGAAACACAGTATAAAGACAAATAAAAAACAGGAAAATAAGGAAACTCTGAGGCCTAAATATGAGAAACATATATATCAATAAAATAACACATTTAGACATGAAGCTGCTTTTAACAAATAATAAAAATGAAGTAGCACATGCCCTGAGGCTTTTTTCCTAACAGACAGCCCAACATGAAACTTGCCTTAGTAACTATAATCTAGCTTGAATGACACTGACAAGATAAAATAGAAAAGAAACAAAACAAAAAAAACAATTGAACTGTCCAAAAAAAAAAGAAAATTGAGAAATTTCTCACCGCAGTGAGCTTCATCTGAATTATCAGAGCAGTCACTGACATGGTCACATTCAGCATTCACCTTGTTGATGCATTTCCCACTGTCGCATTTAAAGCTGTAGTCAGAGCACATATTTGGGGCTGCAAAAGGGGTTGAAAAAGAACAAAAGTGAAAACACACATTTAACTGGTAAAATACTATGCAATCAGTGAGAACACAGTGTGAGGCTTCAATGTAAGCAGATTGCGTTGATTGGGATTAAGGCCTAATATGCCTCCATATTCACAGAATTAAAACTCAAAAGCATGTGAGCATCTATGAACGGTACAGAGAAATCTGAAAGACATTGATGAAGAAAAAAAAGGTCGGTGGTAGAAAATGAAAGATGGAGTTAAAGAACAATGACAAGAAAAATATTTTTAAATAAAATTATGTCAAAAACAAAAAGTGTTAATCTCATCTTCTTACAGGATTTGCATGTGGCCTCATCATTTCCATCCTCACAGTCCATTACATTGTCACATACAACATCTTGAGGAAGACAAACTCCATTTCCACACCTCCACTCGTTTGGTTCGCAATCAGCTGTCAAATAAAAAATTTAGGAGAAAATTAATATAGACATCATACAGAAGGTCGACCTGTAGCAAAGATAATTTTAGCACCTGGCATCATATTTCTTGCAAGCATTAAAAGAGCTTTGGGATAAGGGAACAAACTGTATCAGCACCAGGCATTAGCTGGGGGCAACAGTGGCGTTGGATGTAGGAGTTTGCCCTGAAATCAAAGGGTTGACGGTTCAAGCCCCGACTCAGACTTTCAGTGTTGTTGTGTCCTTGGGCAAGACACTTCACCTGCATTGTCTACTGATGGTGGTCAGAGGGCCAGGTGGCGCCAGTGTACAGCAGCCCTGCTTCTGTCAGTGAGCCCCAGGGCAGCTGTGGCTACAATGTAGCTTGCCACAATCATTGTGTGAGTGAATGGGTGAATGAATGTAGTGTAAAGTGCTTTTGTCAAGTCTCCTAACTTGAATAAAGGTGCTATATAAGTACATGCCATTTACTGCTACTGCTATTAAAGATTTTTAAAGTTTGGTTTCAAAGCAGCTCAAGTCTTTGACCATGCCATGTGATTATGACAGCACAATGAGCAGACCTAATGTCCCATGAACAACCATTTAAAACCAGCTGACCATTAAGTCAACACAGCTGGATTACTTCAGATTTTACAAAAAATCTCTGTCCTTTGGGAATGCAGGTTGTTTTTCCTGCTGTCTCTATTCATGCCTACAAAATTATATTACCATGACTACTATAGCTTATAGTAGGGCTGGGCGATATAGAAAAAAAGCTTATCGATAAAAAAAAATGCTTATTGATCGATATCGATAATTATTGAAAAGATTTGAAACCATATTTTATGTGCAGCTCTGCCTGGACTTTTTATAATATTGCTAAATGATTGAATTTTAATAAAAAAACAGTTCGACTTCGAATTAAATCTTTATTTAACCAACTTTTTTAACCATAACAGAATTGTTTTAAAGAAAAATAACTTAAGAGACCTGAGTTATGTTATTAAATACTGACAAAGAATAAACTTAAGTGACCAGAAAAGTGACCAAAATTAATATAACAAATAAATAAATGCCCCCCCCCCCCCCCCCCCCCCCCCCCCCCCCGTTTCCTGCTTTAACCTGAGTTATTACTTTGAAGTTTCTGGCCCCTCAGCATTTTATCTCAATTGTTAGAACTACGTGGGAAACTGCCCAGAACTGAAAATATATATATATTTTCCGAAGATTCCTCGGAGGAGAGCCGCGTAGGGGCATACACAGCTGGTACTCCTGCGGCTGTGAGCGGCTGAGATGATAAAAAAAAGTTGGTTTCGTTATCAGACTGGTTTTCACTGGTTCCCGACACATTTTCTAGATGACTGTGGTTTGTTTTTGGTCCGACTTGCCATGACCGAAATACTGCCAGACTGCCGAACTACAAAAACCTTTCTTTGAAACAATTTTCTCCGCCTCTCCTTGCTGCACAGCTTCATGTGCTCTGTGTTGAGGTTTGAGAGGGCGGCGCTTGGTGACGTCGTGCCTGGGTCCGCGATTGTGATTGGTTGGGAGGAAGCAGTGACTAGCATAAACCTACATGCTAGGCTACAATGAGAAGGAAGGAAAACTGCGTTTCTTTTTTATCGAACTTTTATCGACCCTCTTTTTTTCTATTGCGCCACACGTCTATCGATCGATATATATCGTTATTGAATTATCGCCCAGCCCTAGCTTATAGCATTAAAAAGATTCAGGTGATTTATTTTTTTTTGTTAACATGTGTTAGAGTTTGATTCTGGCACTGACCTATGTGCTAATTCATTGCTAACTGTGATCCAAAGAAACCACACAAGCTAAAATCAATGACATTTTCACTAATCAGCTCAGACTGATAAGTGAAGCTCTAAAGTAACTGTGCAGAATTTTTTTTGTACTGCTGTAAATTAAATGCTAGAAGCCCTTGTTTTCTTCTCTTCTTTCTCATCATCACTGCTAATATGATGGCAGGATTTTTTCCAAGTACAGGTAGACAAATCTGTATGCTATATTTACAATTATGCTGAAGACTGTAAACCTTGTTCAATGAAGCAGGCTATGTGCAAATTGTAGGTATACATGAGTCTGTTAACGAAGAGCCTAGTGAATGCCAGACTGTGCAAAGGAGAGCTGATAATTGTTAGGAATCCAGTTTGTGTGGGTTGTGTTTTTGCTGTTTTTCTCTCCCTCCACCACCAGGTGGTGCCCTGTCCTCATTGGTCCTCCTGCACACCTGCGGCTGGTTGGCTCATCACTGAGGAGTATTTCAGCGACGGACTGTCACTACCTCGACGCCAGAGTGTTCGCCAGTTTTGGGTACTCTAGCCAAGCTGAGTTTAGCTGAGTCTAACTGAGTCTTTGTTTCTCTGAGTCTAACATTGTTTTTGTCTTTTTCCTTTCGGCAGGAAGTCATCCTGCATACTGGATGTTTGGCCTTCTCCCCCCGGAAGGATTGTTTGAGCTTCACACTGAGCAGGGGATTAATCTCCACACGTCCCGTTCAAGTTCTCCTGGAAATCTGAATGGCAGTCCGCTCTGCATTGGTCCTCAGGAACCAACCAAACCAAAACGTGTCCGCCCTTCAACCAAGAAACCTTTCTCTGCAAACGTGAGCCCGTTTATCTCTGTTTTTGCAAGATGTCGTTCAAAGTTCCCACGGACCCTGAACTAACCTCTGTGAACTTCCCTTCTCACTTCCAGTTCCGGTTCACCAGCTCTCTGAGTTCCCCTGAATCCAACCCATTTGAACTCCTCAATAAACCTGTTAAACTTTTACTCTGGTTTCTCTGAGTGGTTTTCTGCACGTGGGTCAGATCTCTTAAAAACATTCTGACAATAATAACACTATACTTATTAATGTAGAGGGATCGTTTATTCCAGCTCCTTTTCGATGGAGCCAGACTAAAGGCCAGACACAGTGTGAATAGTAGCACAGTCACAAAACCATTATGTTAGATTTCTTGGTGTGCAGCCCGCATGATCCTTGTCATTATTAGGTTTTAACCCTTTTTCATGAGGAAAGTATGACCCATGCTCTTATAAGGAGCATGGGTCTTATCCTCTCCACTGAGGAGAGGATAAGATATATAATTTGGGCCATAAAACCACAGCTCGTCATTTTTATGCTACCTAGATTTCGTTATCTCAAGACAGATCTCAGCTAAGTGATTCCCCCTGCTCTCACTCTATTTGCTGAGCTAAGCTAACTGGCTGCTGGCAATAGTTACAAGACAAAGATGAGAGAGGTATCTATCTGCCCATCTGACTTTCAGCAAGAGGACCATTATGATTTTTTTCTTCTTTTTTTATAAACTATTTCTTTGTTTCAAATGAAAGGGGGACATGGAAGGGAAAATGATAGTAAGAAGAGCTATTAAGGGAATAAAAGAGTTGTATGATCAACCTACGGCAGTTTTTCTCATCACTAATGTCGCCACAGTCGTTCCAGCCATTACACTGTAGTTTCTTTGCGATGCACATGCCATTGTTGCAGGCAAACTCACCAGGGCAAGCTGCTCACAATCACATACACAGAAAAGAAGAGCATAAATAGACAGCATTGAGATACAGTGAAAAGGAAGCAACATGTTTACAGCAGGAATTAAAAAGCAGATCAGGAAAATTCCAAATTATTGTTATTCATACAAGCTGACGTCAGAACAGGAGGGATGTACCTGTTAGACAGCTGTAAATAAAAGACACACAATAAATAAGCTTTGTGCCATATAGCCAAACTCTCATATTTCCCTTTTAAAGTTTCCAGTTTGACACAAGCGAGATTTCTTTAACTTTACTGCCAATCAGTCGCAAGTCTTTTTTTTTTTTTTAGGACATAATTACTAGTAATGGTGGACAGAGACTGCCTTAGTCATGTTGTGACAATTCACTCATCTTTCAAATTTTGGTTTATATGTGGGCAACAAAAATCAGAATGAACTCACCGTTAGAATGATTGAAGGCCTCATACTCTGCAAGAAAGCCCTTGTCAGTATAGGACTCATCAGAGTGAAACTTCACCTCAAGGACGTTAGAATCACTGGTCAAAACTAAGAATGATCGATCCCCACAATATCTGAGACACAGAGCCCATTATTTTAAACATGACTGATGTTTTAGTACACAAAAATGTGAGATGACAGAATTGGAACAAAATTACCAATGCACCAACATTTTGTATCGAGTAAGTGTTTTAGGTTAGGCAGTAAATATTATAACCAGACAAGCAGTTTAACCTTGTATTGAATTATTTTCAATAATAAAAAAAATGTGAACAAACCACTTTTTAAAATCCAAATTAAGGCACAAGAAATGTCCAAATCTCACCTTTTTGAAACACAACACTTCCCTTCTAATTAATGGCTTTTGTAAGAAATTAGCTCCTCATTAAAACTTGTTTGAATCTACAGTTAAAAAAAATCTCAAATTTACAATTATAACTGTAAACCAATTTCATTGTGTTACTAATAAAATGTCTCAATTTTAAGAAAAAGTTAAAATGAGAAAAGACAGAGAAAAAATCTTAGCATCGAAATTTTTAAAAAGTTTATGTATCTGGTAATTCACAAAGACATTGTCATTGTCAGTTGTATACTTTTAGGCTTGAAATTAGGATCAAATCTTACCGTTGCCCCATGATCTCCACATAGTCCTTGTGACACCTGCTAGTGTCTACATTAGGCTCTTTCATGCTGAATATCTTGAAAGTCACACGTACTTTTTTACCTTGAGAAACCTGTTGCAAATAAATAAAAGTTACTGATTTGTAACATTACTGACCAGGTCAAGTCAATGCAAGGTAAATGTATTTGATTAGCACAATTCAGTACTAAGACAACTGAAATGGCTTTACAGTAATAACACAATACAATAAATTTGAAATCAAAGCAGATTAATGGCAAGTAAAGATAAAAACACAATAAAAGCCGGTAGCATAGCAAGTAGAAAACAAAAACAAACTAATGATGCTTCAGTTAACAGTTTAACCTTAAGAGTCAAAAGCAGCTCTAATCAAATGTTTTTAATTTGGATTTAAAATAATTCAAGCTTTCATCAATTTTAAAGTCTTCTCGGGGTTTTTTTCCTGATAAGTGGAGCATAGGAACTAAATTCTGCTTTTCCATATTTGTTTCTAGTTCTGGGTGTGCAGAGTAGGCTTGAACTAGAAGACCTGAGTGGTCTGGGAGTTTGATACACTCACAACAATTCTTCTATGTATTTAGGCGCTGATCCATTCAGTGAATTGTATATGAATTTGAAGGATTTTAAATTCTATTGTACAAGGAGCCAGTGTAAGGCATTCAGAACTGGGCTGATGTGCTGTACTTTCTTATTCCTAGTGAGAACACAGGTAGCAGAGTTTTGGATCAGCTGCAGCTGTCTAACTTTTTAGGCAAACATATGAAGACGCTGTTGTAGTAATCAAATCCACTAAGGATAAATGCATGAATTATTTTTTTCTAGAACCTGCTTGGACATTATTCCTTTAATCCTGGAGATGTTCTTCAGGTGCTTAAAGGCTGACCTGGTTACTGGCCTTTATATGCCTCTGAGGGTTGAGGTCTGAGTCCATAGTAACACCGAGATTTTGGACAAAATCAATAGTTTCAAGCTGTAGTTACTGAAGATGTTTGCTAACTGAGACCTCTCCTCCTATGATCAAAATATCGTTACCTTTTTTTTTTTATTCAGTTGGAGGAAATGTTTTACACGTCCAATAGTCTGAGGAACCCATCACAGACACTCGCTGACATTGTAATGTAAAGCTGTGTCATCTGCATAGTTGTAGTAAATGATTATGCTTTTTTTAATAATCTGAACTAAGGGGAGAATGTAGTCATTCAATAGTAGGGGTCTTAAAATGGAACCTTGAGTGACACCAGATACATTTTCTTTCTGTTCTCTGATATAAAGATATTGACAAAAGAATGCTGACATAAAAATTCTTACCATGCAAGTAAGATTTAAACCAGTCAAGTGCCAGTCAAGTATTTTACCTACATGCACAAAGAAAAAGACGCCTATACATCCAACAATAAGGCTCAAACAAATCAATAGTGGCTTACGGTTCTGAAACTTCAGAAATATCACCTGTATATATTTCACATAAACAAACGCAGAAACCAAACTCACACACTAAACCAAGCAGCTCAACTATAGCCGCAACAGCAGCATGTCAGATGCTGCTGTTGCGGCTATAGTTGATAGAAGTACTGAGCAGCTTGCCTTCAATAGTGCTGCGTCAGCATTCCTCTCTCCTCCCATAGCAGGCTAAGGATGGAGGAGAGGGAGGAGGGGACGTCCTGAGGAAGGAGGGGGCTAAAGCAGGGAAACATTAGGTACGAGGGTGAACTTAGGAGTCTTACAAACCTTGATGGTCCACTTGCAGTCCATGGAAGGAGGATAGAAGATTGGATGAAGTGGCGACGTGAATTTTCCATTGTTTCCAGAGAGTTTACCTCCACACTGCTGAGCTGAAATGCATTATAGTTCTTTTAACAATATCTCATAAATAATAAAATAGGTAGTTCACTGGTAGGTAATGGCATACCCAGTAGTTCCTCTCTGTTTCCTGTGTAACTAACCAGTATGAGATGGGCTGTGTGTGTAATTAATTACTAGTCAACAACCCATTAGTTCGTCATTAGTTCCTAAAGTGTTCTCTACACTAAACATCTAAAGATTGAGAAATTAAATAAGTTATAGTTATCAGAAGAAAAAGACAGTAAAGATAAAAACTGTCATTTATAACTACATTGGAATACTCTACATGATAATGTATTCAAAGGATTAAGTAGTAGCCAAAAAAATGTATGTCGATTTTCGAACTACTTTAAAACAACATCACACAAATACAAAGAAAGAGAGGATATTATAGAAATTTGTTTTTCTATTGAGGTATTTTAGCTCAACTAATTATCAGAGGTGGAAGAGGTACTCAACTATAAGTAAAAGTATTGGCTCTCATGTAAAAGTTACTCGTTCAAAATTCTATTTAAAATGAAATGAATGTGAAATACTCCTATTTCACTGCTAGATGACAATAGTCTAACAAAACTTCCCTTTAATTAGGAACATTAGTAATGACCAAGTAGTTTTTACATACTATGACAATGCCTAAAGTGGATTTCACAAATACATTTTCCCACTCTGTTCAAGAGCAGGTATGCTCAGGGGTGAATAGGGCCAACAAAAAAGTCAGTAGAAATACTGAAAAGACACACTGTAATTTACAGTAGCTGTACATACATACATCATGCATTACATGATTTGCATTTGTGAGTTAACCATCACTTGCATTACACAACTCAAATACTTAGAGTTTAGAGTGAACATTAGATTATTTGGAGTTAAGCTAACTAGCAACAATAAGTCCCTATAGCTGTACAATTCAGGAAGAGGAAGTGGGCACCTGTGCATGTGCAGTTCATTCTCTTCCAGTCACCACACTCATCATTACACAACCCAAGTTGGAACACTGAGGGCAGCCTGTTGACTTTACATTTGTGCTGTTGTTTATTCTTTCAAATTATCAAAACAAGCATCTCTGCATTATAAGTTTTTCATAACATCAGCTAATGAAATACAGGCAAAATACTGTTCAGGTCATGGTTAAGTCCAGCTTTGGTGATATCCAAGCCTCCTCTGATAAGATTAAAACAAAATCTGTTGAAATCAAGATTCAATTTTAATTTCAAACAAAATTTAAAGGAAACTTTCCTCTTTGACATTGTAAGATGAATCTTGAGACCAATTCTGAATATGCGGTGCTGAATGGTAAAATTTCACAATACAATATACACTGTTACAATTCAGTTAATTAGCACACTTTCCTTATGATTAAATATAAATGTTAAATCTATTTTAAAATCATACATAAATATATGAATTTTATATTTATATCAACCTCTCAAATGTATATCTAAAACCATATTCTGTAAATTATTAGATTATATTAACGTACAGGTACTTAGGTATTAAAACTGACCAAAGCCTGTCTTTTAACTACACTATGAGAGCATTGTAAGAAAGATGAAGCTAAACTTGGGTTTATTCTACAGGAACAAATCGTACCTTGGCTTTTTTTTTTTTTGCAAGAAAACATTGATTTTTTTTTTCTACTTTTTTACCTGTGCTGGATTATGGTGATCTGCTTTTTATAAATGCACTTTAAAAACACCCTAAAACATTGAGTGTACCATTGCATCCTGCATTTTATTATTGGTTTTGGAAATTTGGTTAACCATTGTACCCTGTATGCTGTATGCCGGGTATCCATCTCTGTATGTCCACTCTCACTGGTGCATTATTGTTTCTATATGTATTATTGGCCCCTTCCATTATACCTCTGTGTTTACTTGTGTACATACAAATTGCGGCATTGCATGCGTTCACAGTCAAGTACTATTTTTTTTTTGCTTACTACACCTGACTTACTTTTTTTTTTAGGAGTAATTTACCTTTAAACAAATAGTACCATAATTCTGCCAACAATGAAACAACTTTTATTTTAAAATCCCTGTCCAGGCTGTGCTCTGGAATCCCTGCTCTTCTAAGCAAAATAAACGTAACAAATTTTGCGGGAAGCCCTTGAAACAAAGGGTGCTGAATGGTTCCCGAAATCTCTGAAAGAATGAAATCTCTGCCATATATAAATGCACCAAGGTAGAATGAGATAATGCATGTATCTGTAATTCTTCTGCAAAAGAGGAGAGGGACCACTGCTCTATCCAGCTCTATCCAATTAAAAATTAGGGAACTAAGGATAATAGGCAATTCAAAATTATGACAAGGATAGAAATAGGGTGCAGACAAATACACTCACCGGCCACTTTATTAGGTACACCTGTCCAACTGCTCGTTGACACTTAATTTCTAAGCAGCCAATTACATGGCGGTAACTCAGTGCATTTAGGCACGTAGACATGGTCAAGACAATCTCCTGCAGTTCAAACCGAGCATCAGTATGGGGAAGAAAGGTGATTTGAGTGACTTTGAACGTGGCATGATTCTTGGTGCCAGAAGGGCTGGTCTGAGTATTTCAGAAACTGCTGATCTACTGGGATTTTCACGCACAACCATCTCTAGGGTTTACAGAGAATGGTCTGAAAAAGAAAAAACATCCAGTGAGTGGCAGTTCTGTGGGCGGAAATGCCTTGTTGATGCTAGAGGTCAGAGGAGAATGGCCAGACTGGTTCAAGCTGATAGAAGGGCAACAGTGACTCAAATAACCACCTGTTACAACCAAGGTGGGCAGAGGAGCATCTCTGAACGCACAGTATGTCAAACTTTGAGGCAGATGGGCTACAGCAGCAGAAGACCACACCGGGTGCCACTCCTTTCAGCTAAGAACAGGAAACTGAGGCTACCATTTGCACAAGCTCATCAAAATTGGACAATAGAAGATTGGAAAAACGTTGCCTGGTCTGATGAGTCTCGATTTCTGCTGCGACATTCGGATGGTAGGGTCAGAATTTGACGTCTACAACATGAAAGCATGGATCCATCCTGCCTTGTATCAACGGTTCAGGCTGGTGGTGGTGGTGTCATGGTGTGGGGAAAATTTTCTTGGCACTCTTTGGGCCCCTTGGTACCAATTGAGCATTGTTGCAACGCCACAGCCTACCTGAGTATTGTTGCTGACCATGTCCATCCCTTTATGACCACAATGTACCCAACTTCATGGCTACTTTCAGCAGGATAATGCGCCATGTCATAAAGCTGGAATCATCTCAGACTGGTTTCTTGAAAATGACAATGAGTTCACTGTACTCAAATGGCCTCCACAGTCACCAGATCTCAATCCAATAGAGCATCTTTGGGATGTGGTGGAACGGGAGATTCGCCTCATGGATGTGCAGCCGACAAATCTGCAGCAACTGTGTGATGCCATCATGTCAATATGGACCAAACTCCCTGAGGAATGCTTCCAGCACCTTGTTGAATCTATGCCACGAAGAATTGAGGCAATTCTGAAGGCAAAAGGGGGTCCAACCCGTTACTAGCATGGGGTACCTAATAAAGTGGCTGGTGAGTGTATATTACAATGCTGTGTGACAATTTTATTTATGCTAGGTTTCATCATAATGACAAATGTTGTATCCACCAACCACAGCTTTAAGAATATAGTGTCACACCTAGCAGCAGGAAAACCAAAACTCTTCACTGAGGCAAGATTTCTGTCAGCTCTGAGCAAGAAGCTGAATTACTCTTAAAACTCTTGGGCATAAATTTTTAGGTTATAACAAAAGAGAACTCTTGCTCCCCCTGATTCCAAAATGTAACAACTGGTTAACACCTGAGGTCAACTTTGCTAGGAAAATAATAATTTGGTATGGACCTGTCAATAGTGGGAACATATCTCCCAGTTACCTTTCTTTAAATTTTGGACATCCACCCTAATCAATTACTCTGGGCGCGTTGTACCAGCTCTCAAAGCATACTGAGAAAGACTATATATATAAATATATAACAGCCCCATCATTTTAAAGACATGCCTTGAGCATCTCAAGACAAATCTTATGGAGCTTATCTGATCTGTACTATGGTGTTGGTCTTAGTTTTCGTTGAATTCTCAGCCGATCTCCTCAATGAAGGAAATGGTGACTAGATTAAGATCCTCCAAGTAATTCCTTCCAACACATAACATTACTTTCAGTTCAGTTAACAGCTTCCTGTCCCAACCATATGCAGCCTTATAACACTGATTCTTAACATTGTCTAAATACTTAACTTACTTGGAGAATCTTTTTTTATTACCTTTACTATAACCAACAAATCTCCCAAACTCTCCAGTTATTTTCACCTCTACTCACACTGTGATGGCCTGAGAATCGTCAGGACTCAGAGAGTCGAAGATAGAGACAAAGTCATCCTTGCAATCATCTTCAATGTGGAAAAATGGAAAACTAACTGATATGGCATTCTCTTTTGAGGTCCGGATTTGCCACTGACAATGAGAGTTCGGCGGGTAGTGTCTGGGGTACCCTGGAGATGAAAAGTTTTGTGCAGCTTTAACTGCTTCCAGACGGAAGAAACAGTCCTCTGAGAAAAAGAAGAATATTGCTCAAGTCAGATTATCGGATACAGACAAGGGTAAAACTAATTGGAACTACATTTTTTCTAAATTCTTACTAATGTATATGAAGTTTTTATTTCTTAAAGCATCTCAATCTGATTGTTACACGGATTGCAATCTTTGACAAGAACAGAGCCAATGCAGTACAGGACAGAATCATAATTTGTTACAGGCTGGCAGGAGGGTGAGCTTCTAGCCAACAGGAAAATGACACCAGCGAGTGGTTGAAACAGGACATACTGTACTCACCTGCTGTGGGTTTCCTGGCCATGCGATAATCTGTGACTGAAGACAGATATGTGGGAAGAAGTGAGAGGGAAGATTGAGGGAAAGGGAAAGAAAGGGTCATCAAAGTTTGTGATAGAATTTGATGTATGTTTCTGTTCCAATTCATTGCAGTTAAGGGAACTGAGGAAAATGTGATACTTTTTCTGCTCCATCTCACCTTCTTCTAAAGCAGCATACATCTCTGTCTAACAATTTGGTAAAGGAGCATTCAAATTATACTAATAGCAATCATATTAAAAAAGGACCAAAAACCACAGAGTCACAAGGCCTTGCACTTGGCTTACAGCGCCAGGATGTTGACAAAACAAATGCATGGCCAGGGGCATGGCTATTATTATTAAGGAATCCAAACAGTATAAAATATCAAGCTCAGATGCAGCACAACAGTTCTAAATGATCTATCATCGAATTAAGACAGCTAAGAGAAGTAAACTATGATATGGATGGAGAATAGAAAGGAAAGCAATGCTGATGGGTCATGACAAATACTTCTTTGTTATTTCTTACTGTTTGATGTAATATTCTGAAGCCAGTTAGGGCTAACATCTACAAAGTTTCATTTGAACCCAAGCACTTGGTTCTGATGGTACTTACGTGAAGCAGTAATTTCAGTAACCCTGATTTGATTACTGTGTCTTGCGCGGTTTTGCGACTTAATGCCTTTTTCCAGTGCATCCGAAATCCGCTGCTCTGAGAACTCTGGCAAAATCTCCAGGTTTGTGACTGGAATATTAAACTGGGACCAGTAATAGGCTATAACTCCTTCACTGTAGTTTAGATATCAAAAGGAAAACTTCATGATAGGAAAATTGACAGGAAAAATCCATCATTAAAAAAAAAATATCCAAGCAAGCTTTGAAAAGGTTCCTTTCTAAAAATGGCTTATATTGTACATAGTTAATAGTATAATTTACAAGAAACTGTTGGAGGTCTCATTTTACATAATGAAATGCGCTACATCTGATCTGTAGGAATATGATGGTGTGCCCTTACCTGAAGGCAGTGACTACAGATCTGTTGTAATACTTTGCAAGAAGTAGATCATTCTTGTAGAATTCCCCCAGCTGTGTTAACAAGCAGACAAACCAAAAAGTTAAGGATATCATTTATTTTAATATATACTGCTTATATGGAGAATTATGATACTGAACATGTTTTTTTTAATGACAAGGTATATATGGGGTTTCCAGATAATTACGGTTTCATGACTGCAAAAATGTCATGCTGCTCCTAATGAGTAAAGTGTTTTTGGAGTAATGGTAGTTTTCTTCTGGCTTTTAGAAACATAAAGCTTTAATGAAGTGTTCCTCACAGGCATTCTGCCGCAGACTGGATTAAATAATAGAAAAAAAGAGTTGGAAAAAGAAAGGAGCAGTTTCCTATCTTTTATTTCATAGTTAAACACAGTCTTACAATATTACAGTATAACAGCATAGTTATGCTGCATATTTATGTTACCTATAATTCCCAAATTTTATGTAGCTTTTGACCGGACGGCAAGCAAATGCTCTCACAAAGGCATTTTATTACTCAAAACCAGTTACTCTTAACCGCTAAATAGGCTTCACTAAAACAACAACACAAATCTGAACGCTATGTTCACAATATTTAAGAGAAAGCTGGAGCAATCGTCTTTGTGAGAGGATGGAGAAGTGTTTAAATGTTCCAAGGGTTTGATGACTTTATGTAGAGTTAGGACATAACCATTAAAACTATAAAAAGAATTATTGCCTCTCACCTCAGGAACCTGCTTGAAACATTCAATAAATATTTCCCGAATAATGACCCACCAGAAAAGAATGACTGGATAGGCTTTCCACCACCTTCACCGTGCACCACCTGTCATTAGAGCTGCAGGATACTGTGGTCAATCTTCAACCTTCCTCCCCATGTTTGCATGTCATTTTCACTAGTTTGTCTTTTTTTGTACTTGAAGGGTCTCAGCAAGGGCCTTTAGTTATCAACAGCTCCAAGGTGTAATGCAAACTTCTATATCTTCAATGCTCTTCAGGAAATGTATAAAGTTTTATTCTTTCACCCAATCAGAGATGCAATTAAGCTGTTATTTTGCATAGGAAGGGACATTCTAGAAAACCTTGCTAGCCATGTTAAAAGGTAATCTTACTTAGAGTAGACGCCTAAAGGCTAAGGTATCAAAAGTTGCAGCAATGTCGACCAGAGAATATAAATAGGAGACATTTTGGATGATATACTTACAAGGGTCTCTACTTTATTAGCCAAACCACGAAATTCTTTGCTGGATGTATCCTCCAGCTTTTGGTAATACCTCTCACCATCCATGTTAAGGTGACCACTAAAAAGCCTCACATTTGGCTGCTTCCTTACGGTGGCTTGGGAATCAGCGTCCTTAACTGACAGAAGGAAAATAGAACAGAGTTGATTATTCATCTACAACACAGAAAGATTGCTTCTCTGATGAAGGAGAAAACTTTAAAACAGGGCCTTGAAGTAGAATTCTTAGTCTTTATCGTATGATCGATGGCAACAGATTGGTTGTCGAGGCAATTAAAACAGAATCCAGTTCATGACTTCAGAGGTCTTTTTGTGAGCCACTGTCTGTGTAAATGACAAGGATACTGTGCAACAGCTGTTGACATTATTTTTCCACTGCAAAGTAAAACTTCAGAGGTGTCAAATAGGCTAACACCAATGGGAAATTTAAGTTTACACTCTTACACACTCATATCAAAGAGTCTTGCTTTCACAGAAAGTGTTAATCATCCACTTTGAGATGTTGTGTCAGTTTTAACAGCAATGAACAATCTGAATACTTGGATCTCTCATTTCAATTAATATATTTCTAATAAAAACAATTGGAAATAAAGTGTCACTCCTTACAGAGGAAGAACCAAATGAGGAATCCAGCAACAGCCAAGAGGATAAGAAGCACCACAAGACTACCGATGAGGATGCCAGTCCTTTTCGGCGATGACCTTTTGTATGTTGATGACCTCCTCTCTTTCTTGGTTAGGAACTCTACGTGCTCCTGGTTCTGAAATTGGGAAAAGACAGAGAGGAAACATTTTCAACTTAAAAATAGCAATAAAAACTTATATGGCCACTTAGAGGTTCCTTCTGGTTCAATTCTGCTGTTGTTAAGCTGATAGCCAGAAGCAAATACAAGAAGTATGTTTAAGTTTGTGTTGTTTTCTTTTGATTTAGGGAATTAGCTTTCTAAAACATCTTACTGTAGGCATCTTCTAAGAAAGTAGGGCAAGGTGAGTCTATATTCTTTTGCACATTTCATTGTGTGCTGTACATGAGACAATTTCGAACTCATAGATGTTCATGAAAAAATAGAATAGTACACTGTAGTGGCATAGAGGGAACACGAATAGGGGAGTAGTGGCCTAGTGGTTAGGGCATTGTGCTTGAATCCCAGAGGTTGTGAGTTGAAGCCCCACTCCCACGGACTGCCACACTGGGTCCCTAAGCAAGATCCTTAACCCCCACACTGCTCTCCGGGTGCCACACAATGGCAGCCCACAGCTCCCCAACGGGATGGGTTAAATGCAGATAGTGAATTTCATTGCTTTGTACTCGTGACACTGTAATGACAATAAAGTTACATTCTATTCTATATAGCTAAAAAGTAAAATATAAAAAATGAATGAAGAATATTTTAGAAAAATGCTAAAATGGTGGAAAAAGATTAAATAGAAAAATAGAAAATCTAACCTAAGAACTCAAAAGAAGCATATCAAATTTTGAAGTTACCCTCTGCTCACTACTTTTACAAAGAAGTACTTATAGCACTTAGTACTTATAGTACTTATACAAATGTTATTATTTTGGGATTATTCAAAATATAATGGACAGAGAAATGGAAACAGAAAGGGAAAAAAATGCATTCAGTAGGGAGATCAGAGCCCAAGACATCCAAAGAGGTCCCACACTGGTAAAGTCGCATACCCCATCCAATAGAAGAGTGATCCAGCACAATCTCATGCAAAAATGTCTTAGGCTCTCTGTTTTGGTTGTGGTTCCTCACAATTCTCGATACTGGTTATGTCTGAAGGCAGTATCAAAAGGTCTATATGGGCAGGCTGATTGCCTGAAGATGTTTTATGGTTTTGAGGGCCTGATTATGGCGGCTACTGTGCGTGCCTAGGGGGTTGTGGTACAGGCCATTTGCCCAGAGAACCCGCTGCATACTGGGCTATTCTGTTTTGCTTTTTGGGATGCTTTTAGTTTAGCTCATGGTTTCAGGTAATACTTTGCCTTTTAATGGTCATGTAGAAATCAGACTTGGGCCTGTTGGTGATATAAATGGTTGATGATAAAGGAAGTAAATAGCCACAAACTACAACTTTTTAAATAACCAGCTAGTTATGTAGGGCAACATACAGTAAGAAGACAAAGATTTGTTCATACAACATAAGAGAAACTAGTGTGTAGACAGATTTACTTAAAAAATGTAAAAAAAAAAAAAATTGTTTTTATTAATTAAAAAAACTCTATATCAGGACCATATCAGGGCTCTATAAAGACCCTAATGAAGTAACAATTGAAGTGCAATTTGTGAATAGAGGAATTTAACCAGGAAGCCAGTTGTTTTTATAGAACACACCTTGTTCTACTTTCTAAGAGGAACAAGCTCTGAAAAGCAAAGGACATATTTTCTTAAAACCTGTTCTGCAACACTAACATACCTACTGTAACACCCGAAACAACTCCATGTCATTTTGTTTTACATGCATCCACGTACTACAGTAGGTGATAAACAGGTCATGTGTTTAGGAAAATTACAGGCATGGGGTTTAAAAAATGCTCTAAAATGATTAGCGTCTGTTGTTCAGCTTTATCAAGTGGTGGGGGGAAGAGAAAAAAAGAATTTTGGCTGCTCAGTAATCAACACACAAGGAATCTGCTGCCTGCAGCCAATGAGTGAAGAAGCCAGAGTGCCATTATGGATGGAGAATCTCTTTGGTATTATATCAATTTGTCATATCCGCTGCTCCTTAGATTAGGGGCTCAACTACTTGAGTCTAGATGATTATTCAAGGCAATGCTCTCTCATTGGAAACTGTAACAGAAATCATGGGCCAGAATGAGGAGGATCGTTAGATAGGGGGTCAGCAAGAGCCCCAAGGTTCTTCTCCGTCAATCATCCTTATCAGGGCCTAATTATACCATTATATGCACTTTATCATATTCCAATCTGCACTACTTCAAAGACTCACAATCCCGCATGCAAATTATGATAAATTCTCCCTTAAAGTGCTATTTAAGAAGATCCCACAAAAGCCCACTAGCGTAAATTATTCATGTCTGAGAAGAAATCAACTTGAGCTTTAGAGTTTACGTCTGTGTTTTTCTTGAGGGCTGAAGTGCTACAGGTTTTAGATGCCCCTTGCCCTACATACCTTGATAGAATGGTTAATCTACCTCACTATCATGCAGTCAATCTCTGTCAATCTCTGCTTACTCAGCTCATTTTGGAGGCACATCTAAAAGTTTTTGGACACCAATCCTTGAGGACTGGAGATGGAGACTCCTGTTCTGTTGTCTGATCCAGGGGTCTCCAACTTCAGCCCCGAAGAGCTATTGTTTTACATATTTTAGATAAGCTGGTCTAATTAATGAATTACTTATTTGGAAATGGTCATGTTTGGCAGCCAGAGGTCTGGTAATTACACTTTTTTAGAATTCAGATGTGCTAGAGTAGGGATGCAATTTAAATCTACAGGGCAGCAGCTCCCAAGTACTGGAGTTGAAGACCCCTGGTCTAACCAGTTTTACTCATAGGAAACAGCAGTAAGGTGTGGCTGAAATAGAGCTGTCCCGGCTTGTAAGGAATTTCTGAGCAATTTTAACACCATAGTTTCTCATCCTATGAGAAGTCAATTCTTAAACTCTTTTCTTTAGGGTGAACTCATGATTTTGTTTATTGTACTTGGTCCACATTACCCATAACTGCTGCCTATTTTAATATCTCATGACTTTATTGCAGCAATTTTCTTTCTTTTCATATGATTAGTTAATTTGTTTTCGTTACAGATTTAGAACAGAACACAATAGATGCCAGTCCTCAATGGCCTATGTTCTACACCTTTTGGAGCTGTTTAACACACTTTAATCGAATGATTAAGTCCTTAGGAGGAATCTGGAGAACTTGGCTGCCACTGAGGATGTAAACAAGCCATTTGATTCCAGTTTATTTTTGATCATGGATCACTATGATGAACAATTTCTTCCAAAGTGCTCTCCTATTGAAGTTGTCTCAACATCCAGGTGCTGTTGTGGGTAGTAACTACTTACATTTACTAAGTTACATTTAATTGATAAAATTCTTTGACAAAAAAATACTTTTGGAGGTGATTGTACTGCATTTTATTTTTAATATTTACTTGAAGGATATTTTTATAATGTTTCACCACTCTTATTGGAACAGAATAGTGGCTACCCAACCAAATATTCTAAGTAGCACCACTAATGGCAGGTCAAGCTTATTTTAACCTAAATGCACCATGAAATTTCACTCAAATAAATTTCTTTTTTAGTAAACATGTTTTGTTGGTTTTCTTTTACTTCTATCTGCTGAGCCATCTACTACATATAAAGGGCAAGGTGGTTTGGAAGTATTTCCTCTGCCTTAAGGTTTAATGTTCCAATCATTTCATTTTTTTTATTAGTCTTTAAAAGTAGCAAAAACATCTGCAATTTAAGAAAAGCTGCAATCCCAGAAAATGGAGAGCATAGAAGTATAAACCTGCTGCAAAAACAGAAGCCACTGCAAATAGATAAATGATGCTAAGACATAAAAACACATTTAAAGAAAACAAATTGCTGCAAGTAGCAAAAACAAATAAAAATTAAGAAAATCAGCAAACTAGCCTCATGTAACGAGTTCTCCTGACTACTAGGGGGAATTGATTATAAAATCATATGGGAAGAGAACAAAGACAAAAAAACAATGAAATTATATCTATGAACCAGACCCTTAGCAAAAACAAAACAGGATGCTATGTAGAGGAAATCTGGATGGAAGAAAGAAAAGGTAAGCTTTGCTTTGAATCTTTTTTTTAAGATATCATCTTTCTCTGTTTATTTCTTTACTAAAGATCTGGTCCCAAATGAGTTGGTGATTGTCTCCCCTTAGTGGTGTGGACACTTCCATTATGCAGCACACTTTTGCTGCTCTTCTTAACTTGCAGTTTTTTATACTACCTCCAGCATTCTTCTTTTCTATGTGTTTTGCAGTGTTGGGAGTACACAATGGCTATAAGATCTTTATTGAAAAAGTATTCTGACTAATCACTTAGATTGCATTAGTAGCACCATTTGCAATCTAATGCAGCGCATCACTATGACTTGTTCGCACTGCAGCCTGAAATAACCATAATTACAATTTTTTTGCCCATATACGAACTGTATCTGATCTTTTCACGGCAGTCTGAACAACACTTATCCGATTTTCTTCCAATGCGACCCAGGCCACTTGGCTATGTCGTCCTGAATCCGATACGAATCTGATCTTTTCAAATAGCCAGCATTCATCCGACCTAAACTTCCTTAATACTCATTAAAGGTCACTATTTTGTGTCTTGCTACGCAGAAGCGGTTAGAAAAACAACAACCATGGCAGACGATAATGTGGAGAGCAGTCTTTTTTAACCATCTTTAAAAGATTGAGTTTTTAAGGTTGAGAAAGATGTGCTCCAGGACTACCATCCACGTTTACTTCAGTAAGCATAGAGCACGCTTGCTTGTGAGGTCATTGCATCCTGTACTGCTCATGCAGGATGCTTGCATTGTCTGAACGCAGTTCACACAGGAGACCACATACAAGTCGCATATATTTGGAAATGTGAAAGACAATGCAAAAAAAATCGCATTTCACAAAAAAATCGGAATTGAACTTTAAGACCTGTTGTGTGAATGAAGCCTTAGTCTATCAAAGTGACTTTTTCTAAGTTATCTTCCTCTGCTGCAGAGTCATTTTTAATGCAATGACCAGCGGGAAGAATATACGTGACCCTGATTCATTGG